GTCTAGGGATGATGAAAGTGGTGAAGGTGATATACTTACCTTCTTCCTTGCTCCCTCAGCAAAGACGTTCTCTGATGCTCCCAGGATGGGAGTGGGATCTCAGCATTCTCACAAACAATGCAAGACTACTGGTCCTGCATTGTACGTGATGACGTCAGAGAACTGTAACCAACCAGGTTTGAGAAACATACTTAAGGCGGTTTTGGCACCAGAATTTCCATTTCGGGTCACCACTGGTCCTGCATTGTACATGATGACGTCAAAGAGCTGTAACCAACCAGGTTTGAGAAACATGCTTAAGAGAAGGAGGTTTCAGCACCAGAATTTCCATTTCGGTGCACCACTGGTCCTTCATTGTACGTGATGCTGTCCGGGAGCTGTAACCAACCAGGTTTGAGAACCACACTCAAGAGAAGGAGGTTTCGGCACCAGAATTTCCATTTTGGTGCTCTACTAGTACTAACCCTACCAGGGGTTCCCTGTGACCTGAAACTTTCAAGGATTCCCCTGGGGTAAAAAAAGTGGAGAAAGGCTGGTCTAGGGATGATGAAGGTGGTGAAGGTGAATTACTTACCTTCTTCCTTGCTCCCTCAGCAAGGGCATTCTCTGAAGCCCCCGGGATGGGAGTGGGCTCTCAGCATTCTCACAAACAATGCAAGACTACTGGTCCTGCATTGTACGTAATGACGTCAGAGAGCTGTAACCAACCAGGTCTGAGAAACATACTTAAGCCGGTTTCAGCACCAGAATTTCCATTTCGGTGCACTAGTAGTACTAACTTTACTAGGTGTTCCCTGTTACCTAAACATTTCAAGGGTTCCTATGGGGTAAAATGGTGGAGAAAGGCTGGTCTAGAGATGAAGGTGGTGAAGGTGAATTACTTACCTTCTTCCTTGCTCCCTCAGCAAAGGCGTTCACTGATGCTCCCAGGATGGAAGTGGGATCTCAGCATTCTCACAAACAATGCAAGACCACAGGTCCTGCATTGTACGCGATGACATCAGAGAACTGTAACCAACCAGGTTTGAGAAACATACTTAAGAGAATGCGGTTTCGGCACCAAAATTTCCATTTTGGTGCACCACTGGTCCTTCATTGTACGTGATGACGTTCGGGAGCTGTAACCAGCCAGGTTTGGGAAACATACAAGAGAAGGTGGTTTCGGCACCACAATTTCCATTTCAGTGCACTACTAGTACTAACTTTACCAGGGATTCCCTGTGACCTGAAAATTTCAAGGGTTCCTATGGGGTAAAATGGTGGAGAAAAGCTGGTCTAGGGATGGTGAAGGTGAATTACTTACCTTCTTCCGTGCTTCCTCAGCAAAGGCGTTCTCTGATGCTCCCAGGATGGTGCACCACTGGTCCTGCATTGCGCACAATGACGTCAGAGAGCTGTAACCAACCAGGTTTGAGAAACATACTTAAGAGAAGGAGGTTTCGGCACCAGAACTTCCATTTCGGTGCACCACTGGTCAAAGAGCTGTAACCAACCAGGTTTGAGAAACATTCTTAAGAGAAGGAGGAACCCTCTAATTCACCTTGACGCTGAAGATGGACAAGGGGTTTTTAAACAGTCATGTAACATTAAAGTCACAATAAAGTAGCAATACATAGTGATGCTGGAAGTCGCACAATTTTCACGTCGCAGCAGTGCGAACCAAGCCTAAAAAGGAGGCAGTTTCCAGGTCAACACAACTTGAGTGCTTCCAGCATCTGCTTGGCCCACCTCTACGTTAAATGGTGCCCCTGCGTCCCAAAGAACCCATTTATAGCCTCACTTTTGGGGCCACCCATGTACCAAGCCCGGCCTACTCTTGACCTTGAAACTGGTCAGCCATTTCAGCAACTGGACTCCAATCCTGACCCCAGATTTGACAAGAACGGCACATTCCCTTTAAGAACTAAGGAGAAGGTCTGTGCCAAAGAATGACGTACAGCCAGGATGTCATTATATGCAGAAAAAGGCAGAGAAAAGCAATTAATCCAATTACAATCAGCTATTTAGTGAGTCGAGTCTCCTGCGCTGACTCAGAAGGCACAATGCGAGGCGGTGGGATGCGGGGTAATGCGGCCAGCGGTAACAATTATAAAAGGGTCTCCTTTCACAACATTCTGAGAAGCAATTACTGGGAACAAACACCGCTATTACCAGCAGCCTTTAAAGGGCAAATCCTCCTTACTGGTAAATGTCACCTCGTATGACAGCACATGAAACGAGCCAACGCGCCGCGCGTTCTGACAGAGGGGTGTGCCGCGGTCCCTTCATTTTTAATCATCCGGGCCCCATTCACACTAGGCGTTTGCAGACTATTTTAGAGGAGATTTTGCATAAACGTTCGCTTTTTTTCAGAAGCCTACATTAACCTCTTCATGCTGAGCGTACGCAAATACGCGGCCTCTGGGCGACTGGGTCTCGACGCCGAGCGGCCGCAAATTTGCGTACCCTTTGTAAACGAACATGTGCCGAGAGCGCGTGCCATGCGCGCTCCCACGGAAAGGTCCCGATCTCTCCTTGCAATCGGGACCTTCCCGATCATGTGACTGCCATTGGCAGCCAATCACAGTGGTCACACGACCCTAGACCCCGCCTCCCAGCGTCAGAAACCCCTTAAAGGGCTGGGAGGCGCCGGCATGAAGGGGTTAAAAAGTCCATGGGGTCCAAAACGTATACAATACTAAAAGAAGCTCATCTACGTTCTCAGGCTTCATGCGACAGGAGGCAAGGGACAGCGATCAGGTGTGAATGGAGGAAATCAAGCAACAAAATGCCCCGGTGTGAATGGAGGCTCAAAATACATGCTAAATCCGATGTCTAAAATCTCCTAAATTGTTCAGTATATACTGCCTGGATGAAATATTATTATTATACAGGATTTATGGCGCCAACAGTTTGCTCAGCACTTTACAAAATAATGGGAGACAATACACCAACAATACAGTTCAATACAAGAGGGATAGGAGGGCCTGATCCTGGGAGCTTACAATCTAAGAGGGAGGGGCAAGTGGTACAAAAGGTAATAACTGTGGAGGATGGACTGGTAGGAGGAGTAGATTCCATTACTAGCAGAGGGCAGGATAGGCTTCCCTGAAGAGATAGGTTTTCAGTGATTGCCTAAACGTGGGCAGAGTAGGAGAGTCTGATAAATTGGGGTAGAGAGTTCCAGAGGATGGGGGAGGCTTTACAGAAGTCCTGGAAACGAGCATGGGAGGAGGAGACAAGGGAGCTAGAGAGCAGGAGGAGTGGAGAGGACGGTTTGGGTGATATTTGGAGACAAGATCGGTGATGTAATTTGGGGCAGAGTTATAAATGGCTTTATATGTTGTTAATATTTTAAATTTTTATTGGTTGGGCAATAGGAAGCCAGTGGAGGGATTGGCAGAGAGGGGTGGAGGACAATGAGTGGAGGCCAGTGGAGGGATTGGCAGAGAGGGGTGGAGGACAATGAGTGGAGGCCAGTGGAGGGATTGGCAGAGAGGGGTGGAGGACAATGAGTGGAGGCCAGTGGAGGGATTGGCAGAGAGGGGTGGAGGACACTGAGTGGGGGCCAGTGGAGGGATTGGCAGAGAAGGGTGGAAGACACTGCCAATCCCTCCACTGGCCTCCATTCAGTGTTCTGCACCCCTCTCTGTCAATCCCTCCACTGGCCTCCACCCCTCTCTGCCAATCCCTCCACTGGCCTCCATTCATAGAGGTGTGGAGGACACTGAGTGGAGGTCAGCGGAGGGATTGTCAGAGAGGGATGGCAGATACAGAATGGTTAGTAAGGTGGATAAGTCTGGCGGCAGCATTCATGATAGACTGAGGAGGGGATAGCCTGTGATGAGGTCAGCCAATGAGGAGGGAGTTACAATAGTCAAGGCGAGAGATAACCAGGGAGGGAATACGTTGCTTTGTAGTTTCAGAGGTTAAGAACGGGAGTATCTTGGAGATGTTGGAGGTTGGAGATGTTGCAGAGGTTATTATTATAATACAGTATTTATATAGCGCCAACGGTTCGCTCAGCGCTGTACAATATAATGGGAGACAGAACATGAGAAAGTACAGTAGCAATACAATACACGAGGGGTTCGAGGGCCCTGCTCCTTGGAACTTACAATCTAGGAGGGAGGGGAGAGTGGTACAGGAGGAAATGGCTGTGGGGGATGGAGTGGTAGGAAGAGTGGAGGAGTTCAGCAAACTAGGCGAGGGCAGGTTAGGCTTCTCTGAAGAGATGGGTTTTCAGGGTGCGCCTGACGGTGAGGAGGGACGGTGACAGTCTGATGGATTGGGGTAGTGAGTTCCAGAGCATGGGGGGGGGGGGGGGGGGGGGGGGGGGGGGGGGGGGGGGGGGGAAGCCCTGGAGACCAGCCCGTGCCTCCCTGGCTGACCTCACCGCAGGCTATCCCCTCTTCAGTCTATCATGAATGCTCATCCGCCTTACAAGGTCAAGGAGAGGAGTGTTGAGGGGGTTTTAGCGTGAGGGATGTTGGGCGGGGGTGGAGGCCTGGACAGTGGTAATGTCCCTGCGAATTGCGTCGATCTTGCTTTGGAAGTGGTTAGCAAACTTGTGGCTGGTGAGTGAGGTACTCGGTGGAGGTGGGGGCGGAGAGAGCAGGGGATTGAAGGTGGAGAAGAGCCAACGAGTGCTGGAGGAGAGGGTCTTGATGAGGGTTACAAAGTAGGCTTGCTTGGCAGCATGGAGGGAGGAAGTGTAGGTGAGTGGAGGTTGGAGATGTTGGAGGTTGGAGATGTGGCGGGGGTTGGAAATGTTGGGTTGGCGATGTGGCGGGGGTTGGAGATGTGGTGGGGGTCGGAGATGTGGCGGAGGTTGGAGATGTTTCGGAGGGGAAGTCTACAAGCTTTGGACAGCGATTGGATTTGGGGCTGAAAGGACAGATGGGAGTCCAGGATTACACCTGGCACCTTGGCATGATACACATGATGTTCCCACACAGCCAGCACCATGTTATTATAAAGGGCAGCTTTGGATAAAATAATTGAAAAAAAAAAAAAGTTACCTTTACTAAAAAATTCCCATCTGGCTCCAGGGAGACCATGACCACTGAATCGTGCAGCTTCTCTTCAAAGTGGACATGATTGTGAGCGCCCTCCTCTGGCAAACCGGCAGCAAAGCGGACACCAGCCACTTTTGGCTTTGTACCTGCAGAGACGGAGATTAGTTACAAAACGGCGTTACGGAGGAAGGAAAACTCTACAGAGTTAGTAAACTCAAACAATAAATGTCAGTATTCTTTCTTCCCACTACTAATACAGTTTTCCTCTCCCATGTATTCAATAGATTTAATTGGAACTATGGATACAGCCATTCATCCCGCCAACCGTTGGCTCTTCCTGAGCAGACGTGACAACCCAACCCGACAAGTGCCCACATACGCTACAGTTGTCAAACTGTCAGTAATCACAGGCAGCCGGGCCTATGACCAGGCCATAGCTTTTGATTGACAACTGTTCCTGCAGGCATAGGACTGAAGCTTCTACTGTAGAAAGCAGCAGAGAGGAGAGTTAGGCCTCCACCCCCAACCCTCCAGCAAAGGGAGATAGAGGTCACCCAACAAACACTAAAAATATGTACAACATTTTACGACTTTTTTTTTTTTTTTTTTATTAAGCTCTCTTTTAACCATTTGAGTACCAGCCCTTCACCACCAGACCGTTCTTCCATCTTCAGAGCGATAATCGCTTGACCAACAATTACTCCGTCATACAGCTCTGTACACAAACAAATTTTAGGAGAAAGATTTTTTTTTTTCTTTTCTTCAAAATGTTAATTGTTTTTACTGTCCAACACGTTACTTGAGCCCTTAAAATGTTTGGTCCATTGTGAATGCAGTGCAGTAGTTGGAACTATGAAATGTACAGAAAGATTTTCATATTGCAGTATTCACGGGTTAGTGCTCCCTTATGGTGATGGTTGGTGCTGAGTGCCCCCCAAAAGTTGGTGATCAGTGGGTAGTGTGAAGGCGCAGGAATTGTTGGCGATCCGAGGTGTGAAGGGGCAGGAATCGGGGGCTGATCCGAAGGTGTGAAGGGGCAGGAATCGGGGGCTGATCCGAAGGTGTGAAGGGGCAGGAATCGGGGGCTGATCCGAAGGTGTGAAGGGGCAGGAATCGGGGGCTGATCCGAAGGTGTGAAGGGGCAGGAATCGGGGGCTGATCCGAGGTGTGAAGGGGCAGGAATCGGGGGCTGATCCGAAGGTGTGAAGGGGCAGGAATCGGGGGCTGATCCGTAGGTGTGAAGGGGCAGGAATCGGGGGCTGATCCGAAGGTGTGAAGGGGCAGGAATCGGGGGCTGATCCGAGGGTGTGAAGGGGCAGGAATCGGGGGCGATCCGAGGGTGTGAAGGGGCAGGAATCGGGGGGGCTGATCCGAGGGTGTGAAGGGGCAGGAATCGGGGGCTGATCCGAGGGTGTGAAGGGGCAGGAATCGGGGGCTGATCCGAGGGTGTGAAGGGGCAGGAATCGGGGGCTGATCCGAGGGTGTGAAGGGGCAGGAATCGGGGGCTGATCCGAGGGTGTGAAGGGGCAGGAATCGGGGGCTGATCCGAGGGTGTGAAGGGGCAGGAATCGGGGGCTGATCCGAGGGTGTGAAGGGGCAGGAATCGGGGGCTGATCCGAGGGTGTGAAGGGGCAGGAATCGGGGGCTGATCCGAGGGTGTGAAGGGGCAGGAATCGGGGGCTGATCCGAGGGTGTGAAGGGGCAGGAATCGGGGGCTGATCCGAGGGTGTGAAGGGGCAGGAATCGGGGGCTGATCCGAGGGTGTGAAGGGGCAGGAATCGGGGGCTGATCCGAGGTGTGAAGGGGCAGGAATCGGGGGCTGATCCGAGGTGTGAAGGGGCAGGAATCGGGGGCTGATCCGAGGTGTGAAGGGACAGGAATCGGGGGCTGATCCGAGGTGTGAAGGGGCAGGAATCGGGGGCTGATCCGAGGTGTGAAGGGGCAGGAATCGGGGGCTGATCCGAGGTGTGAAGGGGCAGGAATCGGGGGCTGATCCGAGGTGTGAAGGGGCAGGAATCGGGGGCTGATCCGAGGTGTGAAGGGGCAGGAATCGGGGGCTGATCCGAGGTGTGAAGGGGCAGGAATCGGGGGCTGATCCGAGGTGTGAAGGGGCAGGAATCGGGGGCTGATCCGAGGTGTGAAGGGGCAGGAATCGGGGGCTGATCCGAGGTGTGAAGGGGCAGGAATCGGGGGCTGATCCGAGGTGTGAAGGGGCAGGAATCGGGGGCTGATCCGAGGTGTGAAGGGGCAGGAATCGGGGGCTGATCCGAGGTGTGAAGGGGCAGGAATCGGGGGCGATCCGAGGTGTGAAGGGGCAGGAATCGGGGGCTGATCCGAGGTGTGAAGGCGCAGGAATTGTTGGCGATCCGAGGTGTGAAGGCGCAGGAATTGTTGGCGATCCGAGGTGTGAAGGTGCAGGAATTGGGGGTGATCCGAGGTGGGAAGATGCAGGAATTGGGGTGATCTCAGATCTGAAGGCACCAGGGGCGGACTGACAACTCATGGGGCCCCCGGGCAATAGGGGATCATGGAGCCCCTGTGTCCTTACCCAAACTCAAAAAAGCCTATGAAAAAGGTATCCGGGGCATCTCATGGGGCCCCCTACTGACCCCGGGCAGTGCCCGAGTTTCCAAATGGTCAGTCCGCCCCTGGAAGGCACTACTGTTCATCAAACGCCTCATCTGTCTATGACGGAGAAGGTTGTGGATCTCCGATTTAGAGAGCCAGGCCGACAAACAAAAATCCGATTTCTGGCATCTTTGCAAAGATTTGATCTCACCAGAAATCTTCATACAGAGGAAGAAGCAGCTGGAAAGGACAGGGAGGGGGGGAGGGGTGAGATTAAATCCACCGCTGGCCAGATAGAAGATTATCAGAGATGGAGCGGCAGGGAACAAGTTCTCATCCGTTATAAAATCTCAGATCAGATTAGGAGTCTGAGAACCTCCCACTGAGCGGCTGCCCAAAGCAAGCCTGGAAATGATAAAACATTGTTGTCACTTCTAGCTCTGCAGATTTATGGTGGCAGAGCCGACTCTCCATGGACTCCTACCGGGGCCACCAATGGTTGTCTCTACCCCCAGCATGGCTAGTAGCCTGCCAGATACATCACCAGCATGAACCACCCATGAGAACAAATGCTGTGTCATGCTGATCCAATAGCTTCAGTACGTTCTAGGCAACAGAACCAGAAGAAGAAGAAAAAAGAAAAAAAAAAGGGTAAGGTGGTCTGACTTCAATGGCTACATGCTTGCTGTGGAATAGGGACTTAACAGAAATGAAGACGGGCTGACAACTAGTATCTGCAAAATGCCCGAAATGATGACCTACATATCTATCTTTACAAAGGACACAAATATTGGAGGTGGGGTGGGGGTGGGGTGGTCATTTAAATATCCATTGGAACGATCAATGTAAACTGAACCTCAGACTTACTTCAGCTATTTCTTTTTTTGTAAAAAAAAAAAAAAAAAAAAAAAAAAAAAAAAAAAGCAAAATAAATACCATCCAGAAATGCCTGTGGTCTACAGCTGGTCGACCTACTGTTGAAAGGCACCCACCAACATTGAACCCACTTCCCGTGAGCCCACGGCATTGAGGACACACCCACAAGAAGAGAGAGACCAACAACTCTGAATATGTACTTCTAATATATCATATTAAACCCACTTCCCGTGAGCCCAGGGCATTGATGACCCACCCATAAAGGAGAGAGAGACCAACAGCTCTGAAAATGTACTTCTAATAGATCATATTAAACACACTTACTGCAACTCTGCAATCATTAAATTAATTTTTTTTCTTTTTTGAACATCCAAGCAGTGCAAGTCCCTAAGTGTGACCTGGTCTCTGCCTCTTGCAGCCTCTGTACAGCAGGGCTGGAGTGCAAGAGGAAGAAGCAAGACAAAGAGCCAATCCATTCATCTAGCACAGTGGCTAAATGGTTAGCACTGCTACCTGGCAGTATTCGGGACGTTGGTTTGAATCCCAACCATGGCACCACCTGCCTGGAGTTTGCATGTTCTCCCTGTGCCTGCGTGGGTTTCCTCCGGGTACTCCAGTTTCCTGCCACACTCCAAAGACATGCTGGTAGGTGAAATGGCTCCTGTCTAAATTGGCCCTAGTATGTGTATGTATGAATGTGAGTTAGGGACCTTAGATTGTACGCCCCTTGAGGGTTAGGGACTGATGTGAATGTACAATATATATGTACAAATTGACGGCACTATACAAGTACCTGAAATAATAAACCTGCTGAAAAGAAGTGTGCTGATGGGAAGAGAGCAGAGTGACAGATGAGCTCATCACTGTCCAATCACATGCTGGGGGCTTGTCCGGGATGACATGGGCTCAGAGGAAATGGCTTGAATGATACTGGCCATGTGAGTGAGGACATTCAGCAACAGTAAAAAAAAAAAAGTACAAGTGAAACCACCAGATTTAAAAAGGTGGCAATTGTTTCAAAATCCAGTTTTGTGGTTCTCTTTGGGCCATTTGTTTTTTTATTTTGGGGCAGAGTTCTGCTTTAAGATTCTCTAATCCATCCAAAACTCAGTCACAAGAAACTCAAAAATGATGCGATTCTGACATTTGGCCTCCTGATTCTTATGAAATGTGCACACGTTAGCACATAGTACTGGCGATCAATAGTCACATGACCTTTCAGGTTGCTTGAGACGCCTCATCGCCATCGGAAAATAAAAATGAATTCCTGTTTGGCGCAGTGGGAGGTTGGCCGCGATAATGAGTGTTGCTGCTTTTTAGAACGTTCCCATCTGTACACGGTGTGATCTGTCAGGGAACAGATTCCTCCATCTCCGATAACAAAGAGGTGCCATCATGTGAAAATGGGATAAAAAGGCACCGCCAACGCAGTGCAGGAGAGGGTGACAATTAGATGTGTATGGAGCCCCTGCAGACCTGACACATGATGTCCCCCCATTGATTGGTGGCAGGTTTGTGAAAGTTCAGACACCTCCTGAGGGGTCCATTCACTCACATTACATAGACTGACGATAATTAGGTTACTGTCTGCTCCGGTTTAAGCTGCTCACACAGCGCCATCAGCAACGGCGGCAGAATAATGGGACAGTGCTGCCTGATAAAGCGTGACAAGCGACTGCAAAGTGTGCTTCTATGACCTCAGA